CTTATTTCAGAGCCGAATGTCTGTAAAGCAAATGTAACGGTCTCTAGATACACAGACAATTTTATTTAAGCTTGCAACAAGAAGTGATTGTGTTTCTCACTTCCCTTGAATTCACCTGTATTTTTTTTTAAATTCCAATAGAGCATATGCTTGGTTCTGCATATTTCAGAAACACAGCACCTTATCACTCTGTTGGGAAGTTCTTTTCTTCCTATTATGTGGCTTCTCTGGTGCTCCATTTCATTTTGCATCATCACTTTCTAGAAAACAGCATTCTCAGATGGTTTTTTTTTGAGTTAAGTAATGCGATTACATTAGAATAGCTGCAGGATATGTCCAGACTGGAACCCGACACTTGTGCTTGGTGAAACAGAGATGCCATTCGTTTTGCCTGTCTTCCTTAATTAGTATTACACACAGCATGACTTGGGTCCTATCCATACCCAGTTTATTGGGGAATAACCCCATGAGGTGGAAAGAATGGCTGCAGATATTGAGAAAGATTTTTTTTTGTGGTACATAAACTGCTAGATGAATGGAGAGTGCATTACCCAGCACCTGCATTTTCAGAGACTCAGATCTGATTGCCTTGAAACCCATTACACTGCTTCTCTCTCCTTTATCACATTTGGCTACAGGCACAGGGACTGTCTTTACCTCTATTGTTTGATTGCATCCGTTGCCTTTAACAATCCAGGTCTGCGAGCCCAGTTCCGATTCAACTGGAATTGGTGCAAAGGGATGGAGACTGGAGACAGCAGATTTTTGCCAGGCATGAAATGATGACTCCATTCCAATCACATTTCCCTTTAATGAGGGTCCTGACGCGGCTCTCATTCCTCTGCAAGTGCCATGCAGCATCCGGTGTAATGGCTGCACTTGATGGATAATTTATGCAAACAGAACACAAACAACAAGTCATTAAGCCACCCAACGAGGGTCCTTGACTTTTGCAAAACCAAACAGTTATTCTGCTCCTGATGAGTTTAATTTTACTTTTGGTTAAGTACCTATGAATACATTATATTTAAAATAAATATTATATTATCAATATTCATGATCAGGCTGAATGTCACTTGGTGTTTAATATTGTGGGTTTTTTTTAAAGACTGGTATATTGAGCTTGATTTTCAAAAAGTCATAAAGTATTCATATTAAGAACTTGAATCCTATCTGCAGTCTGTTTTCTAATGGATTCCAACAAAGCTATAGCTGTAAAAGGGAAGAGGGAATCTATGAAGCCATTGTTTGGATATTCATAAACACCTTTTCCCTCTGTAAACCCCCATTGGCATCATCTTTGGTTTGTATTCGAGATGCTTGAATGTATGCAAATGTGAATTTGAATTTGAGAATTCTACCCAAAGAAACCGTACACCAACCGGATAACCTAAAGGAAATTGGTCCTGAATATGATTTGGCTACCTAGTGATTAAAATCCACTTACAAGGAAATTAAAATGAGAAAACCAGGCTTGACTGTGCATCGGGGCTGCGTCGGAACGCAAGGGCCATGCAGGTGTACCCTATTTGGATGTCAGTTTCCATAATATGCTGGGGCCTCAGTGCTTTCCAGATGCCCGGCAGTTTATTTTAGTAATTTTAATTTTATTAGAACAGCATCCTATGACTCGGTGGCTGCATGGCATCGCTGGGAGCCCTCACTTGAAAATCATTAAAGCCTAAATGGTCTTGGCAGGTAATCTCACTGTCTTTTCATCTTCCATCTTCGGCAAGGTGGCCCCTGTAGATTGTTTAAAGGCAAAGGAACACCGAGGTGACAGACACAAACAGCAAACTTGTCTGCAACTACCTCCCCTGTGGAGGGGAAGCAAGGAGGTGAAACTCTGGGCAGTGAATCTTACAGGCTTTATCTGGGGGAGGGAGGACCTGGGAGAAGAGTCTCTTCCCTCCCCTGCCTGGGATCGGGTGCAACGTGAAACAATCTTCAAGGTCCTTCCCCAGAGTGGATGGAAGGTTGAGTATTTGTGATGGCTTGTCCAGAGCAGCTCAAGCCAACAGAACCACTTCTTCTATCACTTCAGAGTGACATGGGAAAAGAGAAACTGGAAGCTTGGGGACCCCTGGTTTTAGGAGAGGGGTTGGTTCTTCCGGGGAGGTCAGTGTAAGACAAATAGGAGAGAGGATTGGTGGGGGGTATAGTGGAGAGGGAAGGCAAGGTTTCTGAATGGTCAGGCCCAAGGATTGGCTCCTTCCCACCCTGCCCCAGAGAAGGGGAAAAGGGTTCAAAGTATTATAAGCACATAGTCCCTAGGTGAACCAGATCCTAGGGGTCTGACTGGGCAGTGGTCAGGCCTTCTTCAGGATTATGAAATGGAGCAAGACACCCTTTGGCAGTGGTGGATGGTTTGTCTCATTCAAGAGGATCACCAACCCCATTGAGAAGAGATCTTGAATTTCTTTTCTTTATTGTTCTTTTGATTTTCAAAATGTCAAATAGGGTATATATATATGTATATATGTATATATATGTATATATATATAATTTTTTTTGATGACAAGGATTTTCTGGCACAGAATTCTTATTCCTAAAGTATCTCAGAGACTTTGGCCAAAGAGTAATGCTCCAGCTCTATCTCAGGATTGAGTCTATGGGTCTGGTGTTGGGTTTTGAGTTTAGGTCTTTAGTCAGGCTTCAGCATGGTTCTGATGCAAATAATCAGGCAGTTCCGAGGCCTGGCTTCAGGCTCTGAAGGGAAGGATTCTGTAGCTGCACAGAGTTATTTCCAAACTTAAGAACTTCAAAGACATCTTCTCTAAACTTAGGGAACTCTCAGGAGAGCTAATTTCCTTGCCTCCCCACCCCCGAGATTTCCTTTTCTTCTCAAAGTCTTACACCTGCATGCAAGAGTTGGAATGATTTGGACAAGAGCTTGGCATTTTTTTTTAGTTTGGCTTCACTGCAAAACTTCATCAACACTTGTCTCTGTGTATCATCACTTGCCCTGTGACCATGGATTCAGAGCCAAGAGACTCAGGTAACAGAGAGAAGGTCTCATCTTCTCCTTGTGAGAAAACACATGAGATGCTTTTGTAATCTGTAGGAACAAGTTCATTGGAGTAGTTGAAAATGTTGGGCATAGGTACAGGCAATGAATGTAGACTCTTAGCCTACCCCATGGTCTGACATCTGTTTTATTTATCTACATATTTATACAAATGCACTTGTGTTTATCTATTTGGTGTTTAACTGATGCCTATCAGCACTTATAATTTTTCAACTGGCTAACTGGCTTCTGGATAAGTCTGATTAATGAGACACTTGCAGAGGAGAAATGAGAGAAACCAGCATTTCCCTCTTTCTGATTTTCTGTTTCTACCTCTTTCTTTGTCTTTCTGTCTCTGTCTCTCTATCTCTGTCTGTCTCTGTCTCTTTCTCTGTCTCTGTCTCTTTCTCTGTCTCTCTCTCTGTCTCTCTCTCTCAGCTACCAGGTAGCTCTTCTTTCATAGTTCCAGCTCCCTAAGTCGCTAGGGACTCAGGCAGCTTTTCCAAGGCTTCTCCAGAGTTGCAGCTTTTGTTAGCAGCCTCTGAAATGCTCTGGAAACATCTTCTCCCATGTCCTTTTAGTCTTAAGATGACAGCACCTGTCGGCTGCTCCTAATCCCTGGGTTGCTTCACTTGCTTTGGGTCTTAGTGCTCTGGTTTTCTTTTCTTTTCTTTTTTTTTTTAAATATCTAATCCCCTCATTAAATTTACTCTGTTTAATAGACCTCGAGAAGAGTGGTTTCTACATCTGCCTGGATCCTGATGATCCACTCACCAGAGAAGCATTGCCTCTGTAGGATTTCACAGAAATGGTATTTTATAGGTTGGTGGATCAGGACTCAGAATACCAAGGTTCAAGTTTGAAGTTGGGTAAGTAATTTCATCTCTTTGGCCACTCTTGGGCTATGAATATCTGATGTACAGACTCCGACTTCTTTGTCCTCACAATCACTCTCTCTCCAAGGAAATAGGGCTTAGATTTTAAGAGGCTTATAGAGAGCCATAGAAATATCATGTATGATCTACCTCATGTTATAACTTATTATAATTACTCATTAAAATACTATATATAAATACTCATTATAAATATAAGCACTCTTTTATGCTAAGCCCAGGCATAGCTTCACCAATGCTTTTCAACATAATGATCCTGGCAAAGGAAAAGATTTGGCAAGCAAGTTGAAACCCATTTTCCAACCATGAGTCCAAGTCTTTATTTATTTCTTTCAGATTCAGAGACGGAGAAGCTAAATGCATGTCAGATGAAAGGGTAAACATATTTTTATTCCAAAATGATACTGACATGTCAGCATAGATAATAGACATATATATGTGAGCACATGTATCTATTAAATATATAGGTGTGGATTGAAAATCATTGTTTTGTTAGGGAAGGGAAGGCAGCTGGGAGATTATTTAATCCTTTGTTTCCTTTTGTAGGGTGAATGGGGGGAGGTGTGGGTCAGGGCCATTCCAGACACAGTGCTTGGGAGCCATTGATGGCAGTGCTCCGTGGGACCAGATGATGTTGGGATTCAAACCAGGGGCTCTTACCTGCCAAACATGCACTCCCACCTCTGATCCATCTCCCCAGCAACACTGTCACTTTATGGGTGAGAAAAATCAAGCTCACCTTTTTTTTTACTAGTGAAAGACCATGAGGTACAGTTATAGACTTATAAATTTTCGTGCTTGGATTTCAGTTATACAATGATCAAGTACTCATCCCTCCACCAGTGCCCATCCTCCACCACCATGGGTCCCAGCATCCCTCCCACCCCTCATCCCCCCCGTCCCACCCCGCCTCTGTGGCAGGGCATTCCCCCTTGTTCTCTCTCTCTTCTTTTGGGTACTGTGTTTTGCAAGAGAGCCATTGAGTGGCAATCATGTTTGGTCTATAGTCTACTTTCAGCATGCTTCTCCCGCCCTGGGAGTATCCTCACAGCACCCTTTATTTGGTGCTCTCTTCTCTATCTGAGCTTCCTTTTCCCCTAGCACTGTAGCACATATACTAAAATTGGAACGATACAGAGAAGATTAGCATGGCCCCTGTGCAAGTTCACCTTTTGACATCAGGAAAATGTGTATCCATCCTATAGAGAAATATAAAGTAAACAGTTAAGAGGGAAGGTTTCTTTTCATTTTAAGGCATCAGTAGATCTTTTTCTTTTTCTAGTTGACGCTCTACTGCTGGATATGCTACTGTTGTTATGCCATTATTTTGAAGGTTAACAAATGTATCAACTTTGCACCTTTACTTTTGGAATTGAGGCATGGGAAAGCTCCTATGTCAATTGTCACAGAAAATAGCAAAAATGAGAAGCCCACCATAGCTTCAAATTTCTCATAAAATTGCAAGTCCTCTGAGGATGGCTTGTGTGAAGTCCCAGCAAAGTTGGATCCACAGAGGTAAGAAAACAAGAGGTGGCAGGCACAAACAGACCACTACTGGGATCTTTTCTAGCAGCTCATTTGGGGCAGAGACAATGAGGCTATAGTATATGCAAAGGTGATTCGATTTCCTGTAATCTGTCTACCTGCTGATTTTGTCATCATAAATGGCATGACAACGATCGCTATAGATTTCCCCACTCATTGTAAAAACAAAAGTGTCTGAAATAAGGAGCAGAGCAGTTCGTTTGTTTGGATACATTTCCCAGGGACAATCCAATTCCGGTATATGTGCTCCAGATGTGAGTGGGCAATAAGGTAGATCTTTCCAGAAAACCAAGGTGGAGATTTTTCCTGGCGGGTTTTGTCCAGTTCATTATTTGTATGCCATATGTTCTCTCAAATTCGCCCTTCTGCTCTATCAATTAAAACCTTTCCCTTTGTGTTGCTGTTATGAAATTGCAATTGTTTCTATCTCCAAGCATTTTCATTGAGATGTTTATTGTTTGAAGCAGCACAGCTCCTGAGCTGTACCCACAGAGAGAGGTCGGAGAAAGAGGACATCAATCTTACCGGCTGGCTTTATAGCTTCATTGTCTGCTCTGATTTTGTAAGAAAGCACATGGTGGTAGGAGAGAGAAACTGCCAGGGGGTAAACGTGTCCTTTGAAATGCCACTCTTGGCTGCCTGACAAGGTAGGAAGAAAAAGCCTATGGTGGGTTTGTTAAAGTTCAGGGATGGAAAAGACGCTGGGGCTGACTTTTTTGGCAGGGAACTGATTTTTCCCTTCTCATGAGAAGGTTGCCTTTTGCACAGGACTGGCTCCTTCATGGGAGAGTTAAGGAGCCCTTGTCAAGAACACACTCAGAAATAGAGGATTTTACTGCGTACGTGGTGCCACTTCAAAAGAGGGTTGGCTAAAGTCCAGGTCAGGCCAGAGATACACAGCGTGTCATGGATGAGTCAACTGGCCTGGCTCATTATCACCTCTGTAACCTGAACATGAAATCCAATTCCCAATGTCCAACTGACCCTCTAGTTATTGATAGTGGGCTCAATAGCCAACCAGTTCAGTGTTCCCTCGAGGAAGGAGAATAGGGGGCATAGTCATGTGACTGTAGGCGATGCACTCTGAATTCAGGTTACGTTAACTCTTCCATATCCCTTGCTTGTTGAGTTAGGTAGCTTTCTCCCTTTGCTTAAATCCCAGTTTCCCATCCAAATTTAGGATGAAGATGGTGCTAAAGAATGATCGTTTATGTACGGAGATCTGCATAGTGTTCAACCCATGTTGAATGCTCAATACCTCTTAGCTTTTGCTTTTATTTTTTTAAAAGAGATCTTCAAAAACAATAAGAAGATGAGATGCACACAAGGACATGACCAGGGAATCCAGACCACCCCCTCAGCAAACATGTCTGAGGGACGCTGTGTTGTGAAGGCAGAGTGAGGAATTCGTGGTAGGAAACCAGAAGTTTGTTTTCCTTTGATGCTCTGATACTCCTGAAGTTCCATTCCTTATTCATGGTGCTGACATGGAATCTGGGGTTTTCTATGTGAAAAGCCCCTTTGCTGCTGGGATTCTGGGAGGGCTGAAGCATAAGGAAACACATTTCTGACTACTTGAGCTAATTCTGAAGGTGGAGCGAGACCAAGAGAACCTTAAGGTGTCTGGGTGGTCATAAACAGGACCAGAGTATCTGAAACAGGTAGTTGAAAGGAAGCTCTGTAGACTTGAGACCCCTGTAGGCTGACCAGGAAGTGCATTTCTGTCTCCCCTCTTTGGATTCTGTAGAATTTGCAGATGAATGTCATGATCATAGCTAACCTCAGGTATAGAAAGATTGGTTCTTTTCTGATTGTTAAGACCTACTAATGGCAAACTAGAAAATCCAGCTGTTTCCTGCAAGACTTTCTCCTGTTACATCTCTCTGAAACCCCACCCATGTTTCATTGAGTGATACATTGGGTCTGTGCTGATGTGGCCACTCTCCTCCCACAGTGATTGCTGGACCTTGCATTGCAGGTATCTGAGCAAAGCCCTGTGAAGTGCGTGCACATATTCACCACCCCAAGCTCTGTACCAGAGCAACAGGAGGGGATAACTCAGTATTTGAGGAGCTGAACTCATGTGAGTTCAGCTGAAGTTTAGATTACCCATTGGTCAAGAGGAATCAAATCTCTGTCAGCACATCTTTCTCTTTTTTTTTTTCTTTCCTCCTGACATACTATTTTCTCCCTAGAAGCCAGCATTCCTATCCATAGGATGCATTGCAGTCTCCTCCCTACTTTCTGTGCCTGGGTCCTATGCTTCTAAGCATTTGCTTCTTAGTTTCCTCCATATTGACCTATTTTGGGGCTTTTCTGCCTCCTCAAAGTCTCACTGTTAATGAGAATCTTGCAAACTTGTTCGTACAGAGATAAAAAATCAATAGCTATGGAACTGGATGGAATTTGCTGTTCTGTTGAGACTTCCTAGGATGCTACTTGGCTAGTTGTCTATTCCTCATGATAGTCCTGACTCTCCTTGATCTCCCTATTAAGTCAAACAACTGGCCCCCATTGTTTCCTTGGGCTCACTTCAATGAGCTTCAATGAGGTTGTTCCCTCAACTCCTTCAATGAGCTTCCTGACTCGCATCAACACAAGGTTCTGGTCACTTTGGCAGCATCCTCAATCCCTGCATCTCTCTGGATGCTGGGACTTCCACAAGCTCTGCGTCTCTGTCTTACCAGTTCAGAGTCGAGTGATTATGGCATATCCCTTGGTTTACCCCTTTTCTTTGATCAGATTCACTCCCATTCTCATGGTGTCTCTCCCACAGACATCATCCTCAAGTACTCTCAGAGAGTTTTGCTTTCATGCCTTGGATTATGACTTGCCCTCTTCATGGGGTTCCCATTTTCCTTCTGTTCATCCAACACCCATCCCACCCTTGGTACAGAGCCCCTATTCTCCTTGCTGAAATCCTGGCTCCCCTCCATCCCTCTCCCCATCCTAGCGATCTATCTGGCCTTTGGGTGACTCTCATCCTTCTCCACATTTATCACTGGCAATTTATCACACACTGGCCTTTCTTGTGACATTTCTTGTACAGCATTGAACTGCTATTTATCTCCTGTGTGTTCTTTCACTTGCCTTGCATTTACGTCTGACATCTTCACGCTCCCCAGGAGCGCAGAGCTTATCTTTGGAGTTCACTTTTATTCCCCTCAGTGCCTTGTTTGCTTGTCATAGCTGCCCTATAACTATTTCTGGAATATCAAGATTTCACCTGCAGTTGAGCCCTACATTTCTTTTATAATGGTGGACTGAAAGGCCTTGAACCAGATAGTAACTCTTGTAGGAAAGACAGCAGGTGTGTGCTTTGACCCTCAAGGTCTATGAAGACTCTTTAAGTTATCCTATGACAATAAGACTGGCACATCCCAAGGGACAGCATGTGATGCTAGACTTGGTGCTGTTTCCTCTACCACAGTATTCTATTTAATCCCCCCAAAAGTCCTAGGTGTTGATTGTAATGATAATTTCAGTTTTATAGATTCTCGTATAAATGGAGGTGCAGAGGGATGATTTTTCCCAAGATTTACAATTCAAATGTGTAATGTGAAATGATTTGAATCCTGTGGTCAGACTTCAAGGCTTGATATTCAAACCACTCTTCAGAGCATGCCCTGACCATCTATGCAAATAAACAGTTCTTCTATTTGTACATCAACATCCCATTTTCAAATAATTTTCACCATCAACTCTTACTTAACAAACTCCTCACCCTTACAAAAAATTGGGACCCTTTCACTTTATTCCTGTTCTTATTTAGATATGGTTCTCATTGCCTTCCATAATCTTCAGAATTTTATGCTGCTGTGAATCTCTTCTCTTTTTTTTTAATTTATAGAGCCACACCCAGTGATGCTTTGGGGTTACTCCTGGCTCTGCACTCAGGAATTACTCCTGGTGGTGCTCCAGGGAGCATATGGGATATCAGGGATCAAACTCAGGTTGTCTGTGTGTAAGGCACATATCCTTTCCCGCTGTACTATCTCTCTAGCCCAAATCTCTTTCTTCTTAAGTCTGTGTCTCTTGCTTGACCCTGCTTATTATGTCATAGACACTCATGTTTATTAGGAATGTCTTTAGCTATGAGTAACAAAATACTCAACTTACAGTAGGTTAAATAAATATGTTTCTATTTCTTAATAAGACAAGAATTCTGAAGGTGGGTGGTGCTGCTGTTGGCTTAGTGGCTAAACCACATCTGGCCTGGCCTCTCAGCAATTCTCTCAGGCTTGCCTCATACTTGACAACTCATGTTGGCAGGATGGTGGCTGTATTTCCAGACGTCTCAGTCCTTGAAGGCAAAGAGATGGAGCACTTATTTCCAGCACTTCTACTCTGTTTCTTTGGCCAGAAGATGTCTCTTGGCAGTTTGATCCTTCAGGGATGGCAGAGAAAGCATGCATGCAGCTTGGAGTATTGAATTTCTAAAGATCAGGGTTATGTTAGTTAAGAAGTAAGGTAGGGACAGATAGAGAAGAAATAACTATATGCTCAAACCCTTGTCAAATCCTAGGTAAATAAATCAATCATAAAATGAAATAATTTAAGTTATGCAATATGTAAATGAATTATTTGGGGAGGGGGTGTGCAGGGAGCTTCAAAGCAGTGCTAAGGGGCCCTGGAGGGTTCTTCCAAGGATCTTGAAC